TTAAAAAGTTTTAAATTTATTTATACTTTTAATTAGTACATTTTGTTGTCTAAAATACAGGTGTTGTTGTAAATCTAAGATCTGGTTTTTTGTTAAAAAAGTTGCCAACAAATACTTTTTGTGAATAGTTAATTAAGACTCAATGTTACACTGTCTTTTTTGGTAAAGAAAAAAAACGAGAAAATGAGCAAGAAAAGGCAAATAGCTCAACTTGTGAAAGTGCTAATTTAGATGTAAAACACTGCCAAAGTAGAGCAAATTGAGATGAAGAAAAAGGAGATAAAAAGAGAATAGCTAATGTGATGAAACACAAAGAAGATAGGAAGTACACAATAATGAAGAAAAAACGAAAAGCAAACGAGGGTAAAGAAAACAAAAACTTTGTATTTTTTTTGAAAGAAGAGTTATAGAGAAAAGAAGGTAAAGTTTACTCAATTAGTGAGTCAAGAGCGATGAGAGGGCAGTGAATGAATGGCTCATTAGCAGAGACGGCGACTGAAGGCGAGTGCTGTAATCTGAAAGCCCTTTCAGACGGCAATGTGTGACTGTTCGCCGCCTCTCTTCCCCTCCACTTGATCGATGGCCGGCTAATCTGCAAGTTTGATTTGCAGACGCCGCTTACAAGTGTGAGCATTTGCTTGCACTGACTGCCAGTTCACGCTATTCGCTTATTTACCTCACAATGAAGCGCCATCACTCACTGGCACTCCAGTGCACTAGGGCACCCAAAACACACATGCGGTACTAATAATTTGCGCCTTCCGTTGGGCTTTTATTTGCGTTTCGATCACTATGTTCCCAGTTACCATTGTTCCGTTGAGTAAAAAGTTTTTTCGTTCATCTTTTCTTTTTTCGTTGCACTCCGTTTACCGCCTCGATTAATGATGTACTAATAGTGACGTTTACAATTTATTTGCATTTTATGCAGAGGTTTTTACTTTTATTTAGTCAAGTTTACCATCATTACTATAGTAGCTACCAGTGCTAACTGTTTTTAATTTTTTTTTATTTTTCAATATGCAAAACGACTGTTCCAGTGGCCACGAGCGGCTAATTAATTTGTTTGTGAGTTATAGTAGTGCTTTTTTTATCAACGTAGAAACTTACATCAGGCAGAATAATTTTGCATATAAGACTTGGCTAAATTGTTTGTATTTCTATAATAAGGTTAAATAATTTATGGCAGTTTGGGTAAAACTGTGTGAGAAAGAAGAAATTGAGAGCTCTTTTTCCCTCATTCTCCCTCATTGAGTTATTCGTATTTTAATTAATTATATGCTCAAGGTAAGCTTGACGTTGTTGTTCTCTAGGTTCAATTATTAATTTGCTTGTTGTTTCTTTGCAAGGTCTACTACTACTTATTGAGAGAAACAGAGGCGAATATTCTCATATCGCCTTGGCTGTCGAACGCAGGCTGCTCTCTTCGACTTGAGTCTGTGCTGTCAGGTCTCTTTCACAAAAAAGCAATGGAAAGTTTCGATATAATAGATTGCCATTCCATTGGCAATGGAATGGCCAGAGGTGATGATTTATTAATGGTCAGCCTCCGTTAATATATCTAACACTACTTACAGCAACTAATAGTACCACACTTGACTGGAGCCGTTGATACTCAGGGCAGCCCTTAGTTTGCCTCTAAAAGATTGCTCCATTATTGATTACCATTAGGCCAGTGGACTCATTGTCTGTCGCCTAACTCGCTCTTTCTAATACGTCCCCTGGCTCAACCGCCACCACCACCACCACTAGTACCTGTTCACTAACCATTTTCCTTCTTTTGTCTTCTTTCCTTCTTTACCCCAACAGTGTGGACGCTCGCAAAGGACAAAGTCTGGAGGCAGCACGCCGTGTGACGGACGAGAATCTGGCGTCGCGGTCCTTCATGGACACCAGTCTGAAGCCACTGGCTCGCCTCTTCATTGAGCTGATATCACCTGAAGACGCGGGCGAGTACGGCTGTCGGGTGGACTTTCGCAAGGAGCGCACTCGAAACTCAATCGTCTACGTCAAAGTCATCAGTAAGTAGTATTCTGCGCTTTTGCCCATTACTATTGTTATTGTTATTCGGAAGTGAATTTCCTTTGCCACTCAATTTAAAATAGCAGTAACTGCTGATGCTGTTACAGTAGTACAGACCATTGCCATAGTAGTGCACAACAGGGAAAACTGTCGATTATTGAAATGGACAAGTGATGGTTTGTGAGAGAACAGGCGATAATTCGATGTGTCGATTGGTTTGTCGGAAAGACACACAGTGCTGGCAAACAGTGTCGCAAAATGATGCTTTTCTTAACTTGAGAAAAAAAGAGAAGGAAATGAAGGAAGGCATTGAGGAGGAAAAGGAGAAAGTGCAAACAGATCGGCAAACACAATTCTTTGTGAGTGTCTGAGCATTTGTGATGAGGCCTGGAAAAAGTGGTGGTGGTGCGACTGCTGGCTGGTCCCACAGACCACACCAGTGCCCGTTTCCTCTGTCTCTACTGCCGACTCATATCGTTTGATTCATGCCTCGGCAAATGGCCACTTGAGAATTGGCGCCAATTCGGTGCCCGGCAATGCTCGCCGATTGTCACCATCGCAGGACTTTCCCACTTGGCAGTCTCCTTCTCAATTGATTCGATATCGACTGCCAGCTTTTCTGCAAATGTTGTCCGTCGTTGTTCTCATCATCATTGATGCCGACACCTCTTCAATCGTATTATTACTCGTTTTATTATTAGGGCTAATTATTATTATTATAACTACCATCCTCAACGGTACCAATGGTTCTGATACACACACACACTAAAAAGTGTATCATCAACAAAAGTCATGCACTAACTGCCTGTTTGGGCAACAAAACAAAGAGACAGCAAATTAAACAGCATCGACATCGTTTTTATAGATTGTTGTCAGTAGCACTGATGGCGCCCAATTGCCCTGATGTGTGCGTGTGTGAGTGTGTTTGCAAGTGGATAAAGGAAGCGATAAAAAAGTGCAAAAGAAAATGAAGTCATATTTGAAGTAGTGATGGCAATTCACTGGCTGACTTTACAATCACATCACAATTCTCCTTGTCTGCCACTGCTGCTGCTGCAGTGAAATTGTGCCCCATTGTGCACCCTCCTTCTGCGGCGGTGTATTGTCAAGTTGTGATCGTGCAGTAGAAATTAAAGTTGACAAAATATATAAGAGTGTGTTGTCAAAGCTGAGTGAAAGTTGCAGTGCTGTTCTAAGGGAGAAAAAGACGCCAACAAACAGACGGGAGCAACAATAACAGACAAATGTGGCCAGATTCGGGTGCTAGTGAAAGCAAAAACACAAACACACACACAGGCACTCACTCGCTCAGTTCGGTAGCGGAAGTGACAAACGCCTCAGTGAAGAGAACCACCGAGCTGGAGACTGACTGCTTTCCTGCTTTTCTCGAGATGTGTGAATTGAAAATGAAAACTGATGTAACTTGGCACTGTGCACTGGCCAGAAGGTGAACTTGAATGAGCTGGGCAATAATAAAGTGAAATAAAGTGGGTATATAGGCGTTTGGTGAGGTGGTCAGGTCGACAACAATTCACTCCGGACGCCACACTCTCACACTCTCACTTTTCGCAGATGTACGCGCTCGTGTGTGATTAATGGCTATTACGCTGGCTGCCTCCGCAATGACCAATTTCTACGGCAGGGCAGTCTGGTGCACAGTGTGCTTTTTCCAAAGTGTATATACACTTTTGATTTTACTGCAACCACCACCACTTGACTAAGTGTCTTAATTTTACAAGTCAAGTTTTTCCTCCCTTTTTAAAAAGAGCAATTGAATTGTTGTGGCAACAGTCACCAAATGAATGGCTTCAAATTAAATAGGACCTGAGAAAACTCGTGCCATTGTGCGTCGGCTAAATTGAATTTTTTATTTGTGCATCTTGTACATCTGAGAAAAGGAAGAAAGAGAGAGAGACAAGTCANTGTGGCAACAGTCACCAAATGAATGGCTTCAAATTAAATAGGACCTGAGAAAACTCGTGCCATTGTGCGTCGGCTAAATTGAATTTTTTATTTGTGCATTTTGTACATCTGAGAAAAGGAAGAAAGAGAGAGAGAGAGAGACAAGTCTTTCAAACAGAAAAGGCCATTGGAAAATTGCATTTGGCAGAAAGGAGGAGGGTGACTTGGTAGACGACCACTTGATTTACGTCTTCCTTTCAGCCTTTCGCATGCACTGCTTCACATAAATAATTATCAGCTTAGATTACATCACCGATTGCAGCAAACACACAAGGGCGAGCTGAGCTGTCAGGCCGATGTATATCGATTTTTATTCTATAATTACACATCTTCTCAGCGTTTTTTCTCAGCTGCATTCTCCAATTGCTTAGCTGGTAAAATTGACAATGGCAAACTAATCAAAAAATTTTGACTTAATGTTCACTTTGCTAGTTCTTCTCTCTCTCTCTCTCTCTCTCTCTTGCACTCAGCTAAAACATCCGACAACACAGGACAATTCAAATTGAAAGGAAACACCCAATGTCTGCCTGAAATTGGCTTTTTTGGCGGATGAGAAAAATTTTCCTAAAATTACAAAAATCGATTCTGCAGAGGAGCCAAGTTGACTGCAGACCAACTTGAGCAACTACACTTAATCGAAGGAAACAACTTACTTAATAGCAGACGCAAGAGAACAGACAGCTATGAGAATGAGAGTAAGAGAGTAAAAGTGAGTAAAGAAAACTGCTGCAATGGGACAATTGGCTGGGGTGCACTGTCTAATTATTATGGATTTGTTCAGTGTTCGCTTGGCCGGCAGGGTCAAACATCTAGGCTGAGCATCAGCCCGGCAAGTGACAACATAATGAATGGCTGCCATATTTGGCACAGACAAACTGGCAGGGACAGGAGGCCAGGCAGACGGCAGATGCACAGACCAGCCTAGTCTTCAGTTTCCGGGAAGTTTGTTCTGCGAACACTCTTGCTGATGCTGATGCTGATGCTGCTGTTGACTTTGTGTGTCCTTGCCGAGCACAGGGCGCCCAGAACTACCACCAGTCCTTTTCCACCGACCCCTGAGCATCACACTTGCACCAATTTGCAGCCTTTTCACTTTTTGTTTTTCTCCTACACTTTGGTGCCATTCATTACGCTCGTCAGCAAATTGGTCTAATCTAAACAAATTGGCAAACAAAATTCAAGTTTGCATAGTGTGCTGTTTGTATCTCGTCCTTCTTGACATCTGCCTTAATTGGATGATTGATTGATCTATTAATATCTATTGCTTTCCTGCATTACTATGATCAGCATTTTCTTTTGCCCGTAATATCTAACAAAAATGTAACTATCTTTTTGAGTACAGTTAGACTAGTGTTTTTCTAATTAATTTGATTGAAAGTAAAAATTGAAGCCCAAAAACTTAACTTTATTTCTCTGTTTTTTTGTTTTGTCAATGTACTTTTGGTAGATAAACAAAGTAATTAAAAATTGTGACAGATAGAGAAAACAACTGTAAATACAAAGTTTAGTTTTTGTATACTTTGAAAAAATGAAAACAGGGCCTGTTTGACTAGTCTAATTAGACATTAATTGAAGTCAGTACCAAAAAAGGAGGCATTTGGTGCTAGACAACTGTATTATTGTTTTTTTGTTGCATTATTTTTGTTGCATTAAATACAGAAAAAACTAATAATGACGCAAAAACAATTAGGAAAAATTGAAATGTGATTGCTTTTCCAAACAATCTTTTTCGAATGTTCCGGAATATTCTATCAAAATACAGTTGAAGATGTGTGTGACAAAATAGGCGCGTTGCAGATGTGCTGTTGCAATTCCAATCAAGTTTCAAAGTAAACCTAGAGTCCAAGTTTTATATTTGTCTGGCATCCAATTTCGCCGTATTCAACATTGTCCCTAGTTTGTCGTTTATTTGATTTATACATGGCCTCAATGCACGTTTCCATTTCCTCGCGTGTCTGCCGTGAAAACTCTCTTCAGTGGTATTCTAGTGTTTCTGTCTGGGGAAAAAATTGAAATCGGAAACGATCGCCACGTCGTCTCTACCAATTACCAATTACCGCAATTAATTTCTCTTTTCAACAACCACAGCAAGTCAGTTTGTTTTCCTGTGGCAACCGGTTGTGAGCTCGGATTCGCAGCGCTTGTTGGCTGGACCGGAATGCTGCAGCTGGGGGATGATTCGGGTGAAAAGGGTTTTGAGTTTATTTGGGGTGACTCGTGGAAATCTCTCGTGAGGTCTTGCCTCGGTGAGTGTATGATCCGGAGGGAGTGAAATGTGTGTCTGTGTGTCGGTTGGAACTTCCAACTTGGAAGGGAAAATGTGCACGCTGTCAGGGGGCCGCTCGTAGATGACGGTCTGCCTGGAGCGGCTGGTGAAGGATTATGTGTTTGTGTGAGGGAAATGGGTGAATAATAAGAATAAGTGAAAAATATTGGGTGAATGATAAAATGGTAAAAGTATTAATAATAATAGTTAGATTTGGCTTGCCACATTCCCACTCAACTTCAACTCCTCTGCAACATATGATATATGTTTTGGCGGCAGTATTTCCTCACTCAGAAGTGGATTTTTCCGCCCGTATTTCACATGATTTTCATTTTTTGTCGTTTTTTCTTTTTCTTTCCTCCAAACAGTTCCACCGGAGAAGCCTCAAATAACAGACACGAATGGCGAGCAGTTGCCGTCCGTCATCGGGCCGTACACCGAGGGCGACCGCCTGTCGCTGGTGTGCGAGGTGGAGGGCGGCAAGCCGACGCCTGCCGTCACCTGGTGGCGAGAGTCGGTCCTCCTCGATGACAGCTACGAGGCCATCAGCGGCCCGAAGAACGTCGTCCTCGTGCGCAACCAGCTGACCATTGGCGCACTGTCGAGGGACCACCAAATGGCCAGCTTCACGTGCCAAGCATCTAACAACAACCAGTCGCAGCCGCTCTCCACCACTGTCAGCATTGAACTATACTGTAAGTTTTTTGCTCACTTTTTTTTGGTTTTTATTAATTTCAACCCAGTAATCTCTACTGCTCTCTATGCTGTAATTCTTTTGTGTTTTTGTGAAGACAACATTTTTGGCTTTTTTTGCTGGAAAGAATGTTAGCATTGAAATGCTACAGCATTGTCAGAGTGGCACCTATACTTTATTTTAGCAGATGTATTTATCATGCCTAATGACAAGGGCCATATTTTTTGCTGTTAGCCAGTGTATGTGGCCGAGCACTGTGTAGCTGTTGTACGACAGCAAAGTACCATAGGATTTAGCTTCTTGAGCATTATTATTTTGGTCAGCACACAGTGTGCTCTGGTGTGGTCACCCGTACAGTGCAGTTTTCGATAGCAATCTTCTTTCTATGCTGTCGTATTTTTCTTTTATAAATTCTTGTTTTTGCTAGGTCACTTTGTTATTATTATTTTGGTTATTTGTTTGCACCACCAACTTGAGCCAAAAGTTTACTGAAACTTGTCACTGCACTTGAACCAAAAAAGAGAGCGAAGCAAAATTATATTTTAAATTTTTTAGGTTGTTCAGTTATAAAGTTTTTAAAACTTTTTTTAAAAATTAAATGGGCAACAAAAATATGCAGCGACTTAAAATTCTGGTCACATGCAATGCTC